TTATTATCTAGAGACTATTAATAACAGGAAGTGAAATGCAGCTGTAGAAGACCTGAGCGCGCTGTGATGTCATCAGTACGCGTCCGTTCCAATCGACCCATATCTATGCTGCGTGCTCCAGTTCTCGCCAAGTCCAGACTTTCCTGTGTTCTTGCCGAGAACTCGCGAATTGATTTATTATAAAGAGATTTGCTGTTCTGTCAGCTCAGCATCCCCCCCCCTCAGGCCAGACGGGGTAATAATCTGTCCTCTGTCTCTGCTCTCCTTACAGCCAATCACGCCGTTTTATTTCCTGACTTATTCGGGTTATTGTCGTAGTTTGTGCCTAGAACAACATAAAAAGTCCTTCATTAGGTCCACTGCACACATTATCTTTAAAAAAAACCCATTGTGAGTCGTTTTGATGAAGATCTTATTAAAGAAGTATCGCATTTAAACAAGAATGTCTAAACGATGTCATACAAATTAACTTAGAAATGCAATTTCTAACACGATGAGTTTTATATTGAAAGCATCTGCACTCCCTAGAAAGTTACATGATAAAATAAATAAAATACGTGCCAAAATTCTACAGTAATTTGATCATAGATTGAACTATTCCTCCAACATTGAACAAGATTACTATTACTCTTTTATGGGCCAATTTAAACCTTGCTAGCAAAAGGCATCTTGCTCATTTTTGATTCACTTCAATTATTTTTCCTTCTGCTTTGCGAACACACTGCATCCAAGATGACATAATGTCGCGTTTTATAGATGGCTGACCCTTCTCTAAATACGCGCGAGTATCCTTTTAGTGATGTACAATTGTTGTTTTTTGAAGGGTATGGCGATCTGACGTAATCTGATGTGTATTACTGTGGGTATGCTGGCCTGACAGCCAGTGAAAGGACTGGGCTGCTTTGGGTTGTTCCTAATTAAACCCACTCTTCTTTTCATCTTAGTCCGGGTCTGAAAAGTCCCACTCAGTCCAAACCGCGGAGGCCCAGCATGGCGGCGTCCCGCACCACCTCCAGCACCGACGCCTCCGTGGACGACTTCGAGACCCTGATCAACCAGTTCACCGACGACCACCTGGAGGAAGACGTGGACCCGGCCATCGGGGAGGACGACCTGCTGCAGGAGCTGTCAGAGATGATCGACAGCTGAGAGAATCCGCCGCATCTCCAACCTGCTGCCATCACTTTATATTTACACCCGTATGGAGATATATGAACAAAAAAAAAACTTCTCTTAAGTATTTTCTTCACATTTATTAGTTTTTAGACCTCCTCCCTTTAGAGACCATTCTGTCTGATTACCTGCAGATCTTTTATGTTACTGTGTCCAACTTCTTTGCTCCTGACGTCTAAAGAAGGCGAGAGAATAGCTGTGGGCAGGAGCTGCAGTGTCTGGGATTCTGGGAGGGAAGCACCATCTTAGGGAGAAGTGTTGTTATCTGTATACTGTGTATGCAAATGGAAATCAGTTGAGATGTAGAACTTCTGGACAGAACACCTCTGCTGGTCTTTTCTTTATGTCCCTGTGGATACCTGAGCTGTTCCTCATCCACTTCCTGTTTAATGGATTAAATGCATCCTCAGTTCCCTGTGTTTGAAGTCGGCATCCCAGCTCCTCGGCTCCATTTCAGACACCTTTTATCCAGAACACTCTACAAGAACCCAGTCACATCCACAGTACTCTGCGTACCTCAGGGAGTCTTTGTGATGTTTATGTTCTGTAGAAGAAACACTTGGTTTTAGTTTTATTTTAGGAATGGTAGTGGATGGACTGCTGTTTTGATTATGTGTGTGTGCGTTTGCTCTTCCATGACACTTTGTTACTATCTTAAAATCATTCATGTAAATAAAAGATGCTTTTAATGACAAGTTGGAGACTGATTGGTTTCAGTTTTATAACAACACTGCTCTCTCCCTGTGGTAACACCTTGTACCTAGAGATATAAATGTCCAGCTTTAATATATTTCCTCAATAAAAGATTGAGAGGAGAACATTTCAAAGCCACAATATCTTTCTCTTGTGTTAAAGAACTAATGGAAATAAAAAGGCATTTTGTCAAATTACAAAAGAATCTTCATTATGGAGTGAAGTCCTCAAATGGAAAATAACATGTATGCTTATGAAAAATTTATATGTTTAAAATGCATTTGTTATTTTGAGGGGGCTGTAATCCAGAACACAGTATCTCAGGCTATGCTGCTATAGCCTTAGGCTGCTGGTGGACAAAGTCCCATCTCCATACTTGCTTTATTCCCCAGTTATATTCAGTTTATTTCTATAGCGCTAACACATTTAATCTCAAGGCACTTTCTAGTTCACCAGATCATCCAGTCAGATTGATTAAAAGCTTTCTAGCGACAGTGGAGA